CCCCAAAACCCCAAAACCCCAAAACCCCTTCAATTAAATTTGCATGCTTTATAAGAATATTGAATTTAAATTTACATAATATATTCCAACTCTAAATCGATACTTATATTTATAAAGAGATCCTTATAATGTTATTAAATCTGTTTGATAATAAGAATAAGCAAGCTTTATTTTCTAGACAAAGAAGCGTATTTACTAATTTTTGTAATATTTCAATAGAATGGACTAGTATTCTGGAGTCTCTATATTCAAAATGGAGAGGTATTTTTTGCTCAAATGCTGCACCTACAGTTCCGAAAATCTTCAAGTTAATTTCTGGGATTAAATGTATTAAAAGTTTAATTAACTTTAATGTAGATGGTTGGTCCTGGATCCTGGCTAGAGAAGAGATAGGGAATGCATAAGATTCCTTATCAATACTATATTTCAATGAAAATTTAGAAAGTCCGATAGAATATTTGCTAGGTCTTCCATAATCAAATAGAATTTCTGGAACAGGCAAACACTACAATATCTATGGGAATTATTTAAACAAATCAGCACCATTTGCGGGTATATATAGATTAATCCAGTTAGAAAATAATGTACTACTCTAGAGAGCAGAATCAATAACTTATTTTACAAAGAATTGCTTGGGGGAATGTAAGCATTGTCGAATCGATAAAATTGGTTGCATTCCAACTAAGATCGAAAATGATTTAAGAGGTACTTGCTTTGAAGAATATGGTGATTAAAAGATACTTAACTTAGACTTCTCAAAGAATAAAAATGATCTCATTATATACAGTGCTAAGAGAAACTTGTAATCAGATTTTGAAAGCGAAAATAAATTATTCTACTTGGGGCCTGATAGTAAAAACTCAAGTTAAATGCCAAAGAAAATAGGATTTCAAGGTTATTACTTCAATGGGGAATAATATATCACATCGGTTGATGAAATTCAACTAACTTCAAGCTTTACAATAGAAACTTGGTTTAAATTGACTGAACTCTATCCTGATAATCGCTAAGATATAGATTAAAGATACTCAATCATTAAACTTATTCAAACATCTGGGACAAACTAAAATTTAAAATTAAATCCCTAAAGCAGCCCCTATTTTTCAGTTTCTTTTATCAACAGTAGAAATGAGAAACTTTGAGCAACGAGTTATGAGAGTAGAGCTGCTAAATTAATAAAAAACTTTTAAAGCATGGCTTGATAAAGAAAGACTAGTTAAATATCGATGGAGTTTTCTTGGTATTTCTGTAATGAATCTGGGGATCATAATTTTAAAATGTTCTGAATAACGATAGAATGTATTCTTTTATCATCTACTCGGAAGCATTCATGCCGAATTGATTTGTGCTTTGCTTAGCTCATTTACCATTTAAGTTATGGGATTAGTTTATATTATTATTGGTATCTGGGTAAAGATTAAGTAAAACTTTGCTTTGTATTTCCACCTATGATAAATACTTGCGAGATTTACTTTAAAAACGTGTTTCATGATCATGAATAGAAATTCCAAATTATAGTTGGCGATTAATTCAAGGGTGTAATAAGAAGTATCAAGATCTTAAAGTGGCCAAAAATGGATTACCACTTTACAAACAAATTGAAACTCACAATGACTGCAAGTTATATGATGATTTCTTTGGTTGTGAAGTTTGCTCTTCTGATAATAATTTAGGATAATGCTATCCTTCATGCGAATTAAATCCTTCTCCTTCAATTTATAGCCAACAATGCAATTAGTGTCAACCGATTGGCCTTTGTTTGCACTGTGATGATTCAAGTGGACCATAGTATTGTACTGTATGTATAGAAGGCTCTGTTCATAAACCCGATGTTGGATGTGTTCTTTGTCATTCTAGTTGTAAATCATGCAGTGGAAGCACATATTCAGATTGCGTGAGTTGCAATGACGGATTTCAAATGTAGAGCGGGTAATGCGTGGAAATTTGCGGAGATGGAGTAAGCTACTACAATTAAAACTAATGTGATGATGGAAACTAAATAAATAACGATGGGTAAAACCTAATTGTTCATTACCATATTCTATAGATGTTCAAAAAATTGCACAATAGAAGCAGGATATTATTGCTTTGGCGGCTCTATATCTTCAAGGGACTATTGTTATCTGCAGCCCAAAATATTGAATGCCACGATATCATAGGATTTAAAAATTATGACAGTGAATTTCAATACGAAAATCAATTACCTTAGTACAATTTTTCATTTAGTATAACATTCTATTTTTAGATAGCGAAAATGGGAATCTCTAGATAAAAGCAAAAGTCAATTAAAACTTGAGATTGGATTTAACTTGGACATTAAACGATAAATAATTCAAAAATGTCCAAAAATTAGACTTGAATTTGAAGTACATAAATGATTACATACTCCAGTCATCAAGATCGCTTTTCATTCAATACAACCTTACTATTTTAGAGAAATAAAACTTCCAAGATAATAACAACAGAAGCATTTTAGAGGATTACTTCATACTTGATTATTAAAGTGAGCCCATGCAATACTATTTTACAATAGACAACTATTCGCTTTTTCAAAGTGTGATAATATGCGGATTTTCATTGGGAACTGTTATGTCCCTGACATTTTAAAAAGGATTAGATATTATGGTAGGCTTATTAGATTAAATTAGCCTGAAGTATATTTATAAAAATAAACATTTAAGTCATTATACATTTAAGATTATATAAACTCAAAAAATGCATATTTTCACTATTGTGGGGTTTTGGGGTTTTGGGG